GACCCCATCCTGCAATCAAAGTCCTAAGACTCCGGTGTCGCAAGTAGAGGCCGAGGGACGCCAAAACATATCTCCAAGCAGCTCTTGCTGTTTCCCCAGAATAAAAGATGTGATCAATTAATTCATTTTATAGTTTATTCTAATAGGTTTATTAGTCCCTAGATTTTTATTTGTTTCATTTCTAATCTTCAATTTTAAAAAGCGTTTCACTTTTAGTTCAAAATGCATGTAAATGCAGAAGGGAGGGTGAGATTTTATACAATGGGGCATTTTGAATTGCACTAAAAGTTAGATGATTTGAAAAGTTTAGAACTAAAGGGGAACAAATTAAAAGTGATAGTCAAATATATAAATAACATTAAAGTTGATGGATCAAAAGTAAAATTAATGTTTTTTTTTTCTGAAAGGATAAACGTTTTACATGATTGATTTACCATGCATGATTTACATCTTCCCAAGTGCTCTGTCGGGTCGGGATGTGGGGGCCCTTAGGGTTGGGGATTCAACCTTTTGGGAAGAATATAATACCAATCTTATGGGTTTTTTTTTTTTTTTTTTGAGAAGAAACGACGAAATTAGATTAACCGGAGTCAAGCTCCAAAGCATGAACAACAAAAGGAAAAGGGATCGAAAAATAGTCCACACGATCAGTCTTAGATAAGGCCTCCCTAGCTAACCAATAGATAAACTTGTCTAATGTAGTAATGGGTCACCAAGTGATGAACAAATTGAACATTTTTTATTTTTTTTTTTAAAAAATAGTCAAATAAGCCGATAAACTTTATCTAAGAAGTCAATTAGACCCTTAAACTTTTAAAATTTGTAATTAAATTCACAAACATGTTATTTTTGAGCAATGAATCCACAAACCTATTGGTGACCTACTGACATGTAATTACAGGCCAATTAGGGTTCCGGCCAACTTTGGCGAATGTCCAACCAAATTTCGACAATCCATGTCAAATACCAGCGACCGGTGACTGTCAAACAATCACTGGTATTTGACATGGATGGCCGGAATTTGGTTAGACGTTCGTCGGAGTTGGTCGGAACACGAATTGACCTGCAATTACAGGTCACTAACAGGTTTGTAGGTTTTATTGTTCCAAAATAATATATTTGTAAGTTTAATTACAAATTTTGAAAGTTTAATGATCTAATTGACATTCTTAGGTAAAGAGGGTTTTTTTTTTTTTTTTTTTTTTTGACTATTTTCATTTTAAAAAAAATTAATTCATTGGCTACCAATTAAGAGCATCTTCAATGATTAGGGGTATATGTTTCTCCACATCATCAACTCAATATCTATCTATTTTCACATCATAGTCTAATTTTATTTATATTATAATATCATATATAAACAAACGACCAAAAAAGAGGGAGAGAGAGGTAACCACTTCTTATGCAAGTACTCGCTGAGCGCATGTGTGTAACAACACATGTTGTAGCTATTAGCTAATCTAATGTAATTTAACTTAATTTATAGAGAAGAGTTGAACAGATACTATAATGTAATAGAATCAATAGCTTTAATATATATATATATATATATATATATATATATATATATATATGAGACAGAGTTGAATTGAGTTATAAGGATAAAGTTTTCCTTTGGGATGCTTTTAATAAGAGTCCAATTATAACTCTTCCGACCTTGGGCCTCTAAAAAAAATAACTGGTTCATATTTGTGGGTAGAAAATCACTTAGCTTGGTTGAAATATAAAATTTATATTTTTATTGAAAATAATTTTAATATAGTATCAAAACTTTCACACATATTACCCATTACCAAAATATCTTTATACATCAAATTGATATCATGTATAGAGTTATTCAATATCCATATAATTAATTGTCTAGTGTTGTAATGTATATATAGGAATAGAGCACACAATGGAAGGATGTTGTGGAACGGGCTTACTTGAGTTAGGTCCATTATGCAATGCATTAACTCCAACATGTCCAAACCCATCAAACTATCTATTTTGGGATGCCATTCATCCATCACAAAAAACCTATCACACTCTTGCCAAGGTTTTCTACAACAATGCTCTTCCCCTTCTCTTGTGAATTTGCACAACCTATGAGGGCAATGGAAGTTTCACAAGAATCTCCAAGAAAGTTAGATGCAAATCGAAAGCGTGGCGAGAACGGGAGAAGGTAGTTTTTTTTCATCTTTCTCATGTTTGTAATGATTGAGCTTGTTTTATGTTCCATCGATGTAAATGTGTATGTGTCCTTGCTTAATATTTTATAGATCTACACGTTAACTTCATCGATCACAGTATTTCTGAGGATTATGTTCAATTCATTTGCCCTTATTGGAGTTTGAATTTACTTGTTTGCAATTCAATGAGCTTGTTCTCTATTCCATAGAGGTAAATGCTCGCTCGTTCTTATTTAATTCCTTATTGATCTGCATTATAAATTTCATCTGAATATTTTTTACGATCTTGTTTGTCTACCCTAAGATTCGTTGGACTTTGAATTTAATTGTTGCAAACCCTTGGTATGCTTGAATTGAATGTTCAATTTAGCTACAAATTTGGTACAATAATGAGATCCTTGGAGAGGGAAATTAAACATATGATCATCTTAGAATGTGGTGGTTATGGGCTCTCCACATACAAGAATTCTTTGAGAATTTTAATAATAGTCATATGTGATGTTTGATGAAGATTAGGATGCAAAATTTATGAGATGTACTAGAGGATAGCTAGAGATTTGGTTCAATAATTGTCTATATCTTTGAATGTCTTTTTTTTCAGATTAGGGCATATTTCTAATGCCCTCTTTGACCTAATCCCAAGCATACTTGTACTAGAGATTAAATTGCAATTCCTCCTTGTAGACTTACTTCTCAGGTTTGGTTGTACTACTACTCAACTGTTCATCATCATTACACCTAACACTGCTTCCATAATTCTTAGTAATTGATTACTCATTTAATTATATTGATGGAAAATGACACTTCCATCTATAGATTATAAAGGAATAAAATTTTTTTGTTATGAAGTGACTTTTTTAATCGTACCCTTGCAAAGTTATTAACAGTTAGCTGAAAGATATTTAAAACCTTGATAAACCAAGAAGTCTTTGGTAACTACTTCATGCAACTAGCTTTAATTTGTATGTGTTATAGTTATGTAGAGTAGTTTCAACCATTGTTGCTCACGAGAATATTGATAAAACTTCAAACCTTAATCCTGTGATTCAAATTTCGAGCTACCATATAAGGGGACATATCCTTGAATTCTATGTTTCATTGTTGAGTTAGAGCTCATTATCTTCTGTTGAAAGAGTCATTGAATTCTCTCTGTTTCAATATCGAGTTAGAGTTCATCTTCAACTGAGAGAGATATTGAAATCTCTATTTCAATGTCAAGTTGGATGTCATTTTCAGTCGAAATAGCCATTGAATTCTTTGTTTCAATGTCAAGTTAGGGCTCATTATCTTCAGTCGAAAGAGCCATTGAGTTCTATGTTTCAATATCGAGTTGGAGCTCATCTTTAGTCAAAAGAGGCATTGAATTCTTTGTTTCAATGTCAAGTTGGAGCTCATTTTTAGTCATAAGAGCCATTGAATTCTTTGTTTCAATGTCAAGTTGGAGTTGAAAGAGCCACTAAATTCTTTGTTTCAATTCAATGTGGCTCAAGTTTTGAATTCCCGCTATCAATCATTAACTTCTTAAGAATTGGGTTTAAAAAGTCACTTCACAAACAATTGAGAAACAACAAAAAATTAGTGATGACAAGTAGGTCGTGCCGGTTCAGCCCACATTTTTAAAATGTTAGATCTACTTGGCCACTTCAATCTGCTATCAAAATATTTAAATTAATAATTTTAAAAATATTTTGTCTATAAATTATATATTTTATACTTGTATTAAGTTAGGTACCAAATTACTATGTCGAGATAAATCGAATGTCCTTTCCTAATTAAAATTTTGAAATCTTGGGGCTTAAAAAATCACTAGCTAAGTATATATAAGTAAAAAAGGAGCAAAAAAATATGACTTTAGACACAGATGTGTAAATGTGTACTAGTATAGAAGTCATATATAGATTTACATAAACTTAGAAGAAACTTAATCTGCACCCTCCATGCCCAATCATTATTGTGTGAATCATAGTCCACACAAGTTGTATGGACCATATTTTGTATACTGTATGATAATGTACATTCAGTATAAAAATAATGTACATTATATTCAGGGAAGGTATATTATTTTTGTACTAAGTGTATATTATATTGTATAATGTACATACAATACCAAAATAATGTACATTTAATATATTAAAAATGTACTTTTTATTACGGTCCATGTAAACACTGTGTGGACGAATAATTTGCCCTCTACCCTTCTTCTTCTTCTTCCTGAAAAACAATGCCTTCTCCCTGGCGCCTCATCATAGCCGTCGCATTTCTTCTCATTTTCCTTTTTGTTCAACCAAGAATCATGACTCCATCGCCGCCATGGACGATCGTAAAGAAAACTGAAGCTTCTGCAACACTTCCAATAGATCATCAACAAAACCATTATTATTCTACAAGAATGTCATCATCAAAACCCAGAAAGCACAATCTCCCAGTCAGGGAAACTGTGTTCAGTGATCTGTCCAAAGGTCCTGTTCCTCCTTCCGGTCCATCCAACATACACCATTAAAATGGTGGAAATGGTCCCAGAAAATCATACATTAATTTTTTTTAGGTGACTAGGTAATCTTGCTGTCAGTACGACTTGAAGGTGTTCACTAAGTAATTAAATCCTGTCTTATGACCCTAACCAGCAAATTAAAGGATCAAACCACATGTAAACTCAAATTAACCAAGAAGGTCAATATATAGGCTGCTATTGTTGGGAGTCGATCGAACTTGTACATTTATTTATTGCCCAGTACTAGTTATATATGTTGCATATGATAATCTTCATGTTACAGTGTACATTAGTGCATACATTAGACCTAAAATAAAGACAAGAAAATGGCAGAAGAAAAGAATACAATATATATAAGTGAAGTTATTATATTCACTGGTTTTGTACAAACTACAGGTATAGCTTAATATGGGACAAAGATCTGTCATCTACTGTGCATTGATGAGATTCCTCATTTCGATCCCAGAAATCGAGAACCACTACTACAAAATCTCACTTTGATGGTTTTTTTTTTTAATCATAAAGTCAGATCTAGAGTAGTGTTCTTTGCTGTTGTTTGATCGTCATTATTTCTCCCAGGATGAGGCGAGGAGGGGAACAAGGAGAGCGACAGATTAGTACTATCCTCGTACTTGTCGTCATCCTTCGCCCTCTTCTCATTATTCCCGCCGCCGTCCCTAGTCTTTAACGATAAGTTCAGATCAAGATTCACGTCGGAATCCGGCATCTTCCTTTTCACGGCGCCGGAAACCGCCGCCGCCGCCGTCCCTTCTTCGTTTTGAACAGTCGCCGGGAATCTTTGATTCGGAAACAACTGCGGCGGCTGCGCTCTCACGTTGTCGGAACATTGTCTCGACATCATCGGAAACTCCGAACGGCCGCCGTTAACGTAATTCCCTCCGAATCCATGTCGGATCATTATACTGGAAGTAGCGGCGCCGCCATTGAGGTAAGGATTGTACGCAGATGAATAAGGTTGATGATGACGACTCCATGAAGAATCTTCAAATCTGGGGGAAAGAAAAACAAAAAAAAAAAAAGGAGAAAAATAATCAAGAAAATATTACGGAAAAGCTAGAAACCAAACATTTCCGCAACTAGAAATCTCAATAAAAACGTGATCTTTGTACCCTTTAGAGCTCCAACTTAGAACAAACATATATAACACTTTAACAGAATCTGGTACCTTAAACTCGTCGTAACAGGTGTCGGATTAAATCCCTGTAGCCTTTGCAGCTGGCTGAAGTTAAAGATATGTGAATCTCCATTTCCAAGAAGCAGCCTTCCGTTAGGGGTAACTGTCACACCCAATTTTTTTTTTTTTTTAAAAACCCTTAAGTCTAATTAGGGTTATAATAATGATTTTGCAAAATTTGAGGAAAATTACCTGGATTTGGCTCATCTGCCTTCTTGCTTCTATACATCTACAATTTTAAAACATTCCCCAGAAAGAAAAAAAAAAAAACAGTTAAAAACTAGAATCTTACATAATAACTTAGATTAAATTCAAGAAAAATAATAAAGATTAATTATACTTGGAGGTGGCTCTTGACATGAGCTATGCTGAGGCCTTTGATGTTCATCAACTGAAGAACTAACTTGGGGGTTGCTCCTGCGACAGACAAACATCATTAGACTAAAAACAAAAAATGCTAAAAGAATCAAGCCCGCACCGGTAGCTCAGATTGTGGGCAAAAGAACTAAAATCATACATAAATTAACTCAAAAATTAATTGATGGACATACTGTCTTGTCCTCCCAGTCTTTCAACTGCATGAATAAAGCAAAGATGGAGGTCGGGAGTCCACCGGAGCCGGGGAGTTTTGGACCGGACATACTGCCGTACTGAACCGGAATTTCCTAATTTCTTCCCATTATTCTCTTCAATTGTGCTGTTATTGCTGCTACTGCTTCCATTGTTGCCCTTTTCTCCTTTCCCATCATCTTCTTCTTCTTCTTCTCCTTCGATTTCGGCCTCGAGTAATTCGGGGCCACCGGTTTTGGAGTCTTCTGTGCTGCCGCAACTGATGCCTTCTTTCATCAGTTCCTGGCCTGTTTCTTCAGCCTCCATGTGAGTTCAGTTTGGTTACTTACAGATGGATATGTAGAGTGTGAGAGATGAAGATTAAGGTGAGAATGGGTGTAGGTTAGTCCATGAGAAATGGAGTAATGGAGACTGGTTTCTTGATGGGAAGATTTATAGCAAATTAAAGTTCTCTTCTTGCCAAGAGTTGGTTATATTTGGAATGAAATTTCTTGAATGGGACATTTAAAGAACATCTTTCTCACTCCCCCCCTCTCTCTCTCTCTAGATTTCTCCACCTTGTTAAGGATATAATGTATGACTTCCATCACTCCATGGTTGATGTCATGTGTGTGTATATGTGTATGTATCATGGGGTAATGATATGATGATGACCCATGCACTATTAGAAACATATATATGTAGTATTAAACAACACGACACTGTCTGAAATATCAAATTTATCAACGAAAAAATTATAGGTAAGTTTATCTGTACGGTTTAATTTACCTACCGCGAAATCAATGAAATCCGTAAATATTTAAGCTGATATTTAAAATGTAGTTATTTCCGTGTTTTTTGTAGGGTATGATTTTAAGAAAAATAGAATTCATAAATTACAACATAATTATGGTGTTTTAGAGTTTTCTTGCTACTACTATATAATAATTATTGGAATATTATGTGTGTGGAAATTGGAATTTAGTGAAATTCTTGTAGAATTGATTAAGTAAATGGCATATTCTTTACTTATTATTATTATTTTTTTTTTGAAAAGGCACAATAATATTCCAATATAAATTATTATTATTTTTCACTTACCGTGTTGGTGGAACTTTCCAACAAATTTAGGTTTGTATTGCAACCACACATAAAATTAAATTAAATTAGTACACCTAAAAAAAATAATAATAAGGACCACTTAGATACGGAGTATATGTATATATGAACCAACCTTGCATGCTATGGTTATTTATTTATTTATTATAAATATGTTTAGAAACAATAGTCTACCTTTAGGTAGATTTTTATTTATTTATTTATTATTATTATTTCTTTTTTTTTCTTTTTTTTTTCTTTTTTTACTTTTGAACTTCCGAGTTTTATGACATTTTTATCTATAAATATCGGTGGTTATATATATATATATATATATATATATATATATATATATATATATATATATATATATATATATATATATATATTAGTCCCTAAACTTTGAACTTTGTAGGGTGAAGGCTTTGAAAGTTTGAAGGCCAATTCCAACCATAATCGAAATGTGACACTAACTGCTATGCAAGCATAAGAAAATAAATGTGTGTCTTTCAATGTAATGATAAGTGTTTAATTCACTAGTTATAACTTTTGGCATAAAGGTGTCAAATGGACAAGTTAGCCCGAAGTCTAGTCCCAGGCTAGCTCGATTCGATCAATTTGCTACAATGGACGGACTAGGGCTAGTATGTTTAATTTTATACTATGGACCCAATTGAACTTTAATTTTTTGTCCATGGCCTGCGTTGGTCTATTGACGTGTACATTTTAAAAAATATATAATATACATATATACTCTAATAGAGTAATGACCATAGATTTATCACATTAGAACTAAATTGAATTATGCCTATTAAATTTTTACGTATTTACTATTTAGCTAGCTAACTGCCTAAGTAGCATACTAATTAGTAATTACTACCTTAAAAATATTTTAAAGTTTTAAAACTTCATATTTGTTTCAAATTAGGAAATATTATTTTTAATAGAAAAAATTTCACTTTTGGTCCTTTGACTGTTCTACTGTGTCAAATTTGATCATTAAGGCTAAACCATATTTAACATGTTCATATATATATATATATATATATATATATATGTCAATTTGGTCATATAGGTTAAAAAGAATCATGTATGTTTGACACATGTTACATCCTCAGCTCATGATCCTTAACTTAAAATGCATTCATACAATGATATGTATGCTCCATTGCATACGGTGATGGATACATATATGATAAAAAAAAAAAATTAAATTAATGTTGAAAGAAATTAAAGATGTGTTTCATAGGCAAAGTTTGAGAGATACACGACTAGGTATAGCATATATATGTCCGATCCGATGTAAGTGATGATGTGTGACGAAATCACAGTGCATCACTTCATCAAGAATTATGACTTTAATTTGTCAGTTGAGAGTTGAATTATTATGACTTCTTCACTTCTTGACGTAAACTATTCTTCTCTATCTACTAGTTTTGAGTCATCATAATTCTTTCAATAGAGACTTAAATTTTGTGAATGCAATTCGAGTCAAATTCAAATTAGCATCATATCATAATCACAACGAGGATTTTCACAATTAATTCAAGTTGTCATGCCTCTTTCGACCAAAATTATTGAAATTCCAAAAAACACTTATTGTGGAAAGTAATACCCACCATCGTCAAATTCGAATGGATCGAACACTTTGATGAGTATGCTGAGCATATAATAAATAAACATAAATATGCAATTCAACTATATATCAGTTTAGCTTTTTAGTTGAGATTGAACATATATTTCATTTTGATTTTATTGCTCGAAGCTCGTCAAAATTAATCAGCTTGCACACGTGAGGGGACGTGTTGAGCATATAATTTAAAAACATAAATGTGTAATTTAACTATTAATTTAGCATTTTAGTTGAAATTAAATACATGCTTCAATCAAGCGAAACACCACCTTTGTCATGAGGATTTTCCAACCACCTTTCAACAACCTAATAAAATGGTGACCAAAATGATAAACAAACATTCTAATTTTATTATTATTATTATTATTATTATTATTATTATTATTATTATTATTATTATTATTATGGATTTTGTGAATATGATGCATATGATGATTTAAAAATGAAGACTAAAAACACAGTAAATGGGAAGTGTATCACCACATTGAAATCAAAGGCTCCCTTGCTATTAAGACAAAATAGTTTTATCGGTGAATGATCTCACAACACATATACATGCATCGAATGATGTTCACACTGTATCCCAGAAATCAAGATTCCGATGTTGTTGTTAGTGTTAATATTTATCTATTTATCTATTTTCTTTAACGATCGAATAACGTTGACAGTGACGATGATCGAGGCTGATCCTCGAGTGTTGACAAATTATAAAAATAAATTAAAATAAAAACTGGTGTATATATACTAGAGTTCGGGTGCGGCCTCGTCTTCCTGTGTAGTCAGTGCGATCACATCAATAGTTATGCAAATATGCACCAACAATATTAGGAAATGCACAATAAAAAAATGCACAAATTAGGTACGCATCACTAAAAACGCACCATTAAATATGAATAAAAACACCATACAGCGTCTCGAAATGCACAATTAGGGAGTGGGGAGTGGGGAGTTATATATGGTGCATTTTTTTGGGTATGATGTGCATTTTTTGGTATATTTGTGTATTTCCTAACATTGTTGGTGCATATTTGCATAATTATTGATGCGGCCACACTGACCGCATGAGAAGACGCTGCATTTGAACTTTATTTATATATATATATATATATATATATATATATATATATATATATATATATATATTCGGTGAAATTAATTATATTGTGGGAGGGTATGTTGCTAAGCTATTATACCTTTTGTAATATCTGTGTGCTCTGATCTGTGTTTTTTGTCCCTTTTTGTAATTTAAAAATAGCATACATATACATTGTTGGATGAATGGTTACGGTTCCTCTTATAATAGAATCCTTTAGGGGTGCAATATTATTTAGTTAGACTCAATTTATTACTTAAGTTATACAATTAATGTAATAATAACATGTCATAATCCTTTTTTAGAAGAAAAAGTTCGCTAATATTATTTAAAGATGTATACTAAATAAATTGTTTTGGTGTAATATATCATGTATAACATTGAATTAGTTGTAGATTTCTCTTTTTATCTAAAAACAATAGTATTAACATATATTAAAATTATAAGATGATAATATCGGTATCACTACACTAGTAAGAGAGGAACTACGAAAAGAAATTGAACGGGGAGTTCGTTAGGGTCCAAATTAAGATGATCAAAGGGCTCAAAATCAATGAAAATAAGAAAAATACGGGTTGACATTTTTGTAATTTTGTGCACCAAGTATATTTTTGTGGTGCACTTGTTGGGCACTAAGTTCTCGTATATGGTGCACTAAGTGATAGTCTATGGTAGTACACTTAGTGCTGGTCCAAGTGTATGCACTACATATATCATATTCGTGCATTGTATATCATTGATCTGAGCTCATCCAATGGTTCAGATCTGTCCACACCTAGGGACACCTAATATATATATATATAATTTCAACTGTGAAGATGAGCAGAATATTTGTATATCACCCATTACTATCTAACCTAAAAGTTGTGGTAAATAACCCGTTTGGTTCTTTTGCTTTTTGCATGAAAATTCAATATTCTGTGCTCGTGCGAAAGATTAAAACAGCAAACACAGCGTTCCCTACTTTTGTTGAACCCTAATTAATTACAAAGTGATCTTTACCCTCACGAGCTTCTTGAGCTACTGCATGCAACTCATCACAGCCGTCCAAATAAAAGCTTACACAGAGAAAGACAATACATACACACACGTACAGTTGCTATAATTACTATATCTCCGAACTATCACCTTATTATTTTATACCAATCGAATTTACGTTCTTTCCCTGTATAAAAGCATGCAAATTATATTTACTTACAGAGTAAGTTAATTCAATTTTCACGTTATATATTATTTATTCATGTAATTATATTATATGTATATTTCTTATCAATACGTATACACTTTAGTTTTTTACTTATATATGATGTGATATGCCGACGAATATAATCATCCATATCAACATATATAAATCGATCAATAACAAATTACAAGCATTATATGACACTTACATGTTGTACTACTAAGAATAACTAATAACATGTGAGAGTTTTAAGATGACTAACTCAAGTATTTATATTAGTCCCATTGTAACAAATTCTTAGTCCAAAATAATATAGGTATCGTAACATATGCATTTTATTATTATAATGTTAACTCAGTCAAAAATGTTACACATACACACACAATATATTGTTCCCAAAAAAGTTGAATCCCCAACCCCAAGGGTCCCTCACGCCCCGACCCGACAGAACATCTGAGAGGATATAAACCATGGTTACTCAGCTGAACACAAAGGGTCATTGTTCCCAAACTTCACCCATGTGATAAACTGAGCTGCACATGTGGGCTACACACAATATATGTATGTATGTATGCATGTATGTATATGTGTGTGTATGTGTATATGTATATGTATATGTATAAGGTAAAAGGTAACCTATTCTTGTGATTAATGTGTGCGTGGAAACTGGAAAGAGAATTGCATACCCACTCCCTTCCAACTCAATTGATGAGAAAGTTACCCTTTTCCTAACTTAGTAGTACAAAACATATTCCAAGAAAATTAAAATTAAAATTAAAATAGAATAATGATATTTTACCATTTTGATTTTACCTCTTAATGTTTATCTTTTGACATGATAATAGAATTCATTTAATTCATTAGTTATTGTAAATGATTGACCTCGTTTGACATTAAAACAAATTTATTTATTAATTAAATATAAAAAATATATATATATTACTGCGTAAGGAGGTGAAATCAGGAGCGGATATATAGTGTTGTGATTTAAGATACAAAAAATAAAAATAAAAATAAAAATAAAAAAATTGATGAATTTATTAATCATAATGAATGAAAAGGCAACAAAAATCACCCATCCACCTATCTAATTCCTAATGCTTAAATTAAATGGAGAAGTTGGTTCAATTCATTTCCTTCACCTAACATGTCGTACAAATATAAACTAAAGTATCCAAAAAATAATAATAATAAAAACCAAAGATTTCATATCATATCAATTGGATTCGATATATGTGTCCGGTCCTATGTAATAGCCCGCAAACTAGGTTGCAATTTTCATATCATATCAACCAAATTCGATATATGTGCTTGCTCCTAAGTTAGGATCAAGCATTAGCGAAAGCTATTTATACTTGCGTAGCAATTAGTGTCACGTTTTGATGGCAGAAAAATCACCAAGATGGTGTTAAAATATATATATATATATATATATATATATATATATATATATATATATATATATATATATCAAACTCGTAACTTTTAAGTACGGGAATCATGCTCCAAATATTTGGTTACCCCTTTCAAGGCCACATGTTTTCTTTTTCGTTACGTATTATCTTCTAGCGGAATATATATAATAGAAAAAGAAACCCACAGAATAAGTAATTGTGTAGAATTTGTGAATGAATCAAGAGGAGAACTTAGCTTGTACTACTAGCCAATATATATTTAAGAAATTATTTGATTTGGTATAGATGAATGTGAAATGTTCTTGAAAAGGGATTGTAAAATTTTTGCTTAACAATAACTTGGCCGGGTTGATATACTTAATGAGAAATGTATATATAGTTTTATATTTGTTCTTTAAGTTCAAAGTTGTATTTAATTATATGCATATTATTAGAAAATTTAGTTTATTCAATTTTTTTAATTAACCATTAATAAGACTAGGATGACTTTTATTGGTGATAATATTTTCTGACTTGTACTTTGTTTAAGTTTTTGAGCAAGTCCAACCTCCCATAATCAAAATATGGCATTGGCTGCTACGTAACTACATAACACAATCTGTCAGAATTGTGCCACAAGCTAATAGCGAAGGCTACTTTGATATGATAATAATTATCAAGATTAAGAGTTTATCAATACGCCAAAAGTCATAGTTAGTAGCGAATGAACAACTATATTTCTATAACAATTAACGTCACGTTTCAATAACAGGCCGGATGCTAGACTCGGCCCTTCAAGCCTCCACCCAACACAATTAATTAAATACATAAATAAACAAAGATTAAAAATCACCAAAATATCAATACAATTAGCAACAACTTATTAATTACTACATTTCTAAATAAATAAAACTAAATAGCTTCTATTTAGAATAATTAACTAAGATATCCCACCTAGAATTTATAATTAACTAAAAAAAAAAACCTCCATAAACATTAAAAATGAATACCTACCCTCTTGGTCGAGTCTGTTGTACAAAGTCTTTCTAGTATGACTTATCTCTCATGTATAGTTTGTAGGCTATTACACAAGAGCGAGATATACCCAATATATGTTATAGGGTAATGGCTGGGGTTTAATTTCCTCGTCACAAAAAATAATAATAATAATAATACTTTGATTAATGAAAATCATCCAAATTAAACAAATAATTACAGATTAAAATTTAAAATTTTAACTATAGCTAGTAATTAAAATTTAAGTCCAACACCCTTCTATATATCATAGTTGGGCCATTGGCTTGCATATTAAAAATTAAAATAAATAAATAAAGACAGGTTGGTCTGCAAGATTCATTTAAGAGCACACAAGCTGTAAAGTCAACCCCCAACGTAAGACTACTTATGTTTTCTTCTGTGAATTAATTAATTATCTCAATTTTAATCATTTAAATGCCTTTTTTTAATAAATAAAATGTTTGAAATTCGTGAAAAGCTATGAATGCGGATCTATCTTCTTCTCCATAAAAATTCATGAAAAGCATGTCTGTCCTTTTTTGTCTTTCTTTATTAGTTCTCACAAAAAAATTTAGAATTACAATATCATATACTTTATAATATATAATTTTGTAAAAACCTGCTATGATATTATAACTTACGACACTATATATGATCGTATAGAATTTCTTGCCACTTGTTATTGCGGAAATATATAATATATTTGCATTGTCACGTCATCGAGATTACCATACAAATATGCAATTACAATTAAATTAATGAGAAGTAATTAACACTTTCAAAAAAAAATGAGAAGTAATTAACTTAATGGTATTCTTAAGTGTCGTTGTCCGTTGATGGAGTGAAGGTTGGTCAAATATATATTATATATGGCTTGGAAACCTAATAATTATGCTTTCACAAAACTTAAGTATTAAGGATAATGGAGATCAATAAACATTTATTATTATTTAAAATATGGTTATTAATCCATAATTAAATTATTACTACTACACCAGATGTTATAACTAGCTCTACCTAGCTAGCTAAAATCATCTTATTATTTAATTGTCAGATCAAACATGTCTCACTATGTGAAAAAGTATAATAAGTAGTGAATGCACAATTTTGTTTTATTATATTCAGTGCTAAAGACGCTAGGCGCCCGATTTTATTATTATTATTATTTTTGTGTTCTCTTGTACATGAGAGATCTAGCTAGTATATTTACATACTAATTAACCCAGCATTTTAGTAGTAGGATATTAGATTCAACTCTCCAAGCCTCCATCCAACAAATCTAGCATGGCATGGTAAATAGATAAGCACAACCAATGCGAATTTTATATTAGTTTCACCGTGATGAGTATACTAGCTAGATCTCTCACGTAAAGAGAACAAATAAATAAATATTGATCATATTAAATATTATCTCCAAACTTTGATACTAGTTTAAACCCCTAAATTTAAGGGCTCCTCGTCACTCTAGTCTAAGAAACTAGTAGATGAGATAAATCGCAGAATATGTCTCGACGGGTCAACTAGCCCCCAATACTTGTACATAGCACGCACAACCAGGTCAAATACGTACTTCCCTTTTTTACATTACACCCGACTGCTAACAAAGAAAAATTTATTATAAATTTATTTTGGATTGATTGGTCAGTTAAACTATGCCTCTAGCCTTGAAACGTTGGTATATGCATGGATTATGGATAGATGTATAGGTGTGAGGGCAGATCAGAGAATATTAATAATAATTAATAGTTGAATAATTGTGTGGCAATCAAAGACCCAAAGTTGTTGTTCGTCTCTACTACGTACCAGTCTCGTTGTCGAGTATGTTTGTGTCCCACGTGAGTGACATCTCACCTTCCATGTTCTTTTCTTTTTCCCCATGGAAGAAGAAAATTAAAGAAAGCAGCCATTAATGTACGGTCCATCTTTTTTAATCAAGGAAGTAGATATACGGAGCATATGGCATGAAATAATTGTTAATTTATTGGTGTAAACATGAATATGGTATTCCATTTCTATATATATATATATATATATATATATATATATATATATATATATATATATATTGAATGTTTAGGTTTGTAATTGGATGCCCTGATAAACTCTACTCTGTAATTATGATTTATGAGTCAGATCACAAGTTTTCTCAACTAAGATCATATTAAGATTAATAATCTTATTCATACTAAGTAAGACTTCAAGGTCAACAAAGCACTCCCTCATAAACTTTTTAATAGTTAGATTTCTAAAGCTTGAAGCTAAGACCTTTAGTTAAGTTAAAAGAGACTCACTTGACCTACTGATTTGAGACATTTAGTTAAGTTAAAAGATGAGACCCAATTGGCCTAGATATGTTTAACGACCTTACGATTATATTACCAACTCACTTAACAATTGTTCCAAATTGTTGTGTAAAATCACCACTCCACTTTTTATATATATAAGTCAACATTTTACTATTCAATAGTGTAAAATTTCCCATTATGTAATACCAGAGTAGCTTATATGAAGTGTTATTACTCGTCGAGCTAGCCCGTTCGCCCTTTATTGGGCAGAGCGAGCTTTAATTTTCAAGGCCCGCCAAAATAGTAGGCTTTAGTCAAGTTGGCCTGTCTCGCATTTATAACGACAGGGCGGGCTTTTAATTTGATTTTCAAGGCCCGCCAAAGTAGCAAGCTTTAAAGCCTGACCCACCACCCCGCATTGCAATAGTTATTGCGTGGACCACGGTCCAAAAATTAAGTCGTTTTGTGTATTTTTTTGCACACAACCTCTGCAACATATATTGTTATAACTCATAATGTACATTATATTATCTCAAAAATTTCATTATTCTAACACGCAATGTACATTATTTTAACACATAATGTACATTATCTTTAATCATAATATTCAACAACATCGTTTTGGACTGTGGTCCTCACAGCTCGTATAATTTGCCCCCGCATTGACAATACTAATTAGGAGATGTGTTACGAATCTGAATAATCAAGATTAGTTGGAGTTGGAGACTAATAAACACAACTTAACCATTGCCAGACAATGATTAGCTAAAGCGGTATTGATAGAGATCTCTCAAGATTTGTAATTCTCATAATCCAAGTTGGTCAAATATCCATTTAATCTAAGTGGAATAATGATCTCTAATAACAGGGGTGACATCTAAGCATGAAGTCTATGACTAATTTCAAGATTTGAATATAGTAATCTGTCCCCATAATTATATTATAATATATCTTCCCCTACTTAACATAAGTGTACAGAATAAATGAATAATATATAGTCCAACTGATCCAAAGAGAAAGCATTCTTTATTTCATACCCACATAAAGTAATCTCCTGCTGGTAATCCTGTCTCAATATCAACCAACCATTTTGTCTTATTCCTCAACTAGATTACAAAGATGCTACAAGCCTACAATGTTTGACTGAGTAGCATTTTTCTTGGAGATTGAATGTTGTAATTGTTGGATCATAGAATTGAAACTGTATGGAAGTTTTGAAGTAGAGAAGAAGATCAATCTGAAAGCCATTTAAAACGGGGAAAAAGCGATGAATTTTTACCTTCATTAGATGATCATGATTAACTTGAAGTAGCAGGATATCTCAAGTTGAAGAAACGAAAAATTTGTGGCTTCTATGATGATGATGAAGAAAAGCTTAGCTGCAAACCAGTCTTCCCTCGATCGTGCTCTTGTTGTTTCAGTATTTGGCAGTAATTGACCTGAAGAATGCATGAAATCAACTCGATCATCAGGCAAACGTTATGTTAGGTTCATGCATCTCGCAAACTTGAATTTTTGAAAGGAAAAGAGAAACGAGAAAACAAAAGGCATGCAGATTGTAAGGCAGATGACAGACCTCCATTCGGAATCGCTTAAGTGGAACAACAATTCCAAATCCTGCTGAGGCCTTGTATGATTCTTGGAGTTTCTGGAGAGAGAGGTCTCGGAATGTATTTTCAGTCAATCTGTCAAGGTTTCCAGCACAGGCAAATGCGTGGCCATGAATCCCAGCGTCTCTGAATAGCTTCAGTGGAAGATCAAAAGAAAGATCCGCAAAAGCAGTAACAGCAAGATCTCCAGAAAAATTAGAACTTTCACTGTTAGCACCTTCTCTAACTTGGCTTTGAGGCTCAGCATGGCCAAGCCCGCTTGACTTAAAACCCAATATAGATATTGGGCCCCCAAAGGAGCAGACCGGAGAAGAATTGCCCCCCATGAAAAACCTCTCACGAAGATACAAAGGCCTGTCCAGGGATCCAGTTCCCCATGGGAAAATCGCACCAGCAGAAATTCCAATGTTTAGTGCAGCATTGTAAAATCCCAAAGGTAAAGCAAAACGAAAACCAAACTCCTGTTCACAAAACGAAAACTGTTGTTAATATTATGAAGTAATTTTTTTAGCAGGGAACATACAGTTTAGGGCCACTTGCATAAAAGAAAGCAGACCTTTAAGTGGCAAGCAAATGACAGAAAGAGGCAAATCCATAACATAATACTTCATAAAAAAAAACACTTAAATGCACTAATTGGCAATGGTATAGAGAATTTAGACGAGTCCGAGAAAAGGAACAGGATAAAAAAAAATATACATTGAATATTTTACTTCCAAAATTGAAAGATGATAAACTCACAAGGTCGCATGCAACATATATGATAATCAACCTACATAAGCCAGAGAGAAATAAACAAATAGGTTGACAATAATACGCTTAAAAGTTAAAAAGACAGAACATATAACAAAATAAATGTAAAAGGACACAATGGAGAGTGCACTAAACCTGGCGAAGAAAGCGTAAGCTCTGATAGTCTGGTGCAAGGCCACCAATTTGTGATGTAGAAACAAATGCATATCCACGGGTTGGTCTCGAAGATGAATTTCTCTTGTCAATTTTAAATGCATACTTCAGGACAGAAAGTAAATCATGTCCAAGCTGCGGTCTTACAGTCGTAGATTCTGTTTGTGAGGGGTCTGTCAAAGGTCGCCAAGAGGTATTGAATACTAGCTCATGGTTTCTAGATGATAATAGGCCAAGAGACAGGCCTAAAGCTTGGTCTTTGTAAGAAGAAAACTTGAACCAATCATTAGAAAGTAGAGATAATCTAGCAGTCACAGGAGTAATCAACTTTTTGAACGTCACACCAGCACTAACCTCTGATGTCTGGTCCCAGCCATAGGACCAAGAACCATCCCACAAATCCCCACAACCAACCAAGTTTTTCAATTTTAATGAGCCTTCAAGTGACCAACTTCTATCCTACAAATGCATTATAAGACATTACAGATCAGATACACAGCAAATGCTGAGTCATTCATGTATAGTTCAAGTACACTAAAGACCATCGCGGGCAAAAGTACAAAAGAAGTTAATAAACACATAATAGTATCTGCAGATATAATCATTAGTAATAGTGGCTATGTCTGATCTTAAAGGAAGAAAGACAACAAACAGTCAAAACTGTTTCAGCTAGTTTATATGCAGTGAAGAAAGAGGATCCCCTTGAAACAGAACTAACAGCATTCCTCATTGACTAATCATGATCACAGAATTTGATGCACGTGCTTCCTGGGAACATACCCCAATAGTTCCTAACAGATAGTTTTGTGCTTGCTTGGCCCGGCTTATTTTGGAGCTTACCTACTCAATTGAACTAAAAGGTGGACCAAACACTACTTTGGAGCTAAAACCTCTCTTCCCTGTGCATTTCCTATCATTACAATTTGCAGAAAATCTGCTGCAGTACCTAGTTCTTTTGTATGAACATATACACCCAAAAAATTAATATCCGGGAAGCACAATGCCCTATCCCACACATAGGTAGCTCAGTTGATTCCTAGGTGGCAGATTGAAAGAACTTAGGATCGAGCCTTGACAACAGCAGTGTGGGAGTTTCACCCTCTTGTGAGGTGACTCCTTGTGGGACCTTGACAACCACAGAACGGGAGTTTCACCCTCTTGTGGGGGTGACTCCTCGTGGGCACGAGGCACCTGTCCTCTCCCCTAATGGCCACTGAGTATTTACTCCTCCACAATCCTGCTGGGCCGGAGCTATGGAAGCTACCGGTATACCAAACAAAGGCAGTTCAAAAAGCCTAATAACACCGTTTTCTAAAACCCATTAATAACTCGTTGTTCAATAATGATGTAAATGCATTACGATTGAAAAAGTTCTCCCCATTAGTGAGAGGAAATAAAAAAGAGTAAGAAATTTCAATGTTAACGTGTATATTGAGACGTATTAAACCAATTAATATATACCATGCCAGAAAAAAGAAATTAGAGAAAAATAAATATTGATTTGAGGAAAGGAGTACCTCAGGTTTGGAGAAGATTCCAACGTTCCCCGTTAGAAAATTTTCAGCTTCGGCAACCTCAACAACCACGGTTGCAGTCCCAGGGAGGTCCGGCGGGCCGGCATCGAGAGTGATCTTAACGGAATCGAAAATTCCGAGCTGCTGAAGCCGAGCATTGGCAATACTGGCGGCCTGGAGCAACTCCTGGACCGTAGAGGCGGACTTCAAGACCTCCAACTCGGCTTCGATGAGGGAATCTTTAGTATTAGCGTTTCTCTTGATCAGCACGCTGTGGACTCGCACCGGCACTCCCCGACTCGACAATTGCCGGACCAGGCTCTCCATCCTCGCCCTGCCCATCGGGATTCCGGCATCTTGGCCGAGCGTCTCTAGTTCCTCATCATCATCATCGTCGTCGTCATCATCATCATCATCTTCCTCTTCGTCGAATTCTTCGTACTCATCGTCGGCGACGGCAGAGTGGATCGGCTCCTTTTCATTTTCCAGTGATGAGATAGCCATTGATTAACCTTACTTCCGGTAGGTTTTTCCGTTGAGGTTTGCAGGACAGGCGTTGTTGAGTGATGATGAGTTTACAGCTATAGAGTTGAGCTGTGAACAAAGAACGGCGTCGTTTCTCAATAAGAATATGTGTTGTTTGTGAAAATGAAATGAAATAAGCATATAATATTAGTATAATTTACATTTTAGTTGAATTTTATATTTATTTTTTTATAACCTAAGTTTCTCCGCTTTGCTCAACTATATCTTTTAAGACCTTATGAATCCGTTTTGCCCGCTTATATCTTAGACCTTATGAATATGTTCCAAGTTATGAAAAGGTAATTTCGATTGTTATACGGTGAATCATAGTCCATAGTGTTAATGCGGATGATAATTGTCAAATGAAACTGTAGTAAAATTAAAATGATACTTTAGTGTTGGTAAAATGAAATTAGTGTGTGTAAAAAATTAAAGTAATTTTCAAATAGATAATGAATATATAGCATGTTGTGAATCATTATCTACATATTAACATTCCAAATGTATAATATGTTCATCTGATCCCCAAAGCAAACAATTGTACAAGCTAAAAAAAAAGAAGAAAAAAATGAATCAAACTCCCACAAGCCTTTGAATTTACAGCCTCTATAAAAATACAAGACTTCTAATTGCCATCAAGAAGATGGCACAAGATTCATGTATTCAGCTGTGTTGAGCATAAGTACGATCTCACTATCAGCTTAGACTTTTAGTCGAGACTATTGCATTCTTCAGAGACTATCTTCAGAGTGCGGTCTCACTATCAGCTTAGATTTTTAGTTGAGAATATGGCATTTTTCAATTAGATATGTCCGCGGATTGTATCTCGAGCTCGGCCCACCAGAGAGGCGATAGTTTCGGTATTGCACCATCAGGTCCTATCCCAGTGATCTCCCTCAACCTATCAGCAACTTCTCTCATGGTAGGTCTGAGTCTTGGGCTGAGACGCAGGCAAGATTTGATCACTTCACCAATGCCATCAAGCTGGTGTTCATGGAAGGAAGTGAGAGTTGGGTCAGCCATTTCCCTGAGGGACTGTCTGCCTCCGAGATAGTCCGATGCAAAGTCCTCGAGGGCGGTGCCGGTGGGAGAGTACGGCAGCCTCCCGGTCACCACCTCGAGCAGGATGACCCCGAAGCTGTACATGTTGCTCTCTGGTGTTGGGTCCGTTTCGTCGTCAGCAGACTCGTTCCAGACCGCAAAGTCTGATATCTTGGCTGCAGAATCCTCCGAGAGGTGTATGGCCAAGGATTTCAGGTTCTTGTGGGAGACTGGCGGCACCATCTGGTGCATGTGCCCGAGACAGTATGCCATTCCCATTATGACCCTCATTCGCGCCCCCCAGTCCAAATGTTCGGCCTCCTTAACTGCAGAAACGGCGCAATTCAGACCAAGAAAACATTATTCCCATTCCCATTCCCATAAAATCAGCATTGGCAAATAGACTAAGAAGATCAGAGCTTACTGTGTAAATGTTCGAAAAGCGTTCCATTTGGAGCATACTCAAACACCATCATTCTGGTGAAAGGTTCCTTTTCCTCGCAATATCCAATGAGGTTCACAAAGTTCTTGTGGTTTACTTTCGACAGTGAATCAATCTGAAACCACACATAAGCACAGAAGGATTACAAATTGGAAAGGGGAAAGGGATCTCGAGACTCGAAAGATATATACCTTTTTTCTGAATTGGGCTTCGTGATCTCTCGACCAATCCTTAGCAGACACGAAAGTAAGAGACATGACAGCTATCTCGACTCCACTGGATAAGGTGCCCTTGTACAATGTACAAACCGACGAGGAACCAATGACATTGCTGAAATCTTCGCACGCTGTCTCGAGTTCTTGCCTCTTCAGCTTCGGCACGCCTGGTTTTACGAATGCAGAAACGAGGAAAGCGAAAATGTGAGACAAAAACGAGGAAAACTAGACGGAGCCTATAGTGATTAGCATACAAACAACATTACCCGTAACAAATGCTCTCTGCAGCTGCCCGCTTAACCCCGTTGCCCAAGGTCTAACAACCGCCATCTTATTCTTCTGAGAGAATACTATGACGATGAACAAAGCTACAACCAAGACAGAACCACCAATTGCTACAGAAACTATCAAAACTCGGTGGTGTTTCCCGCTGAAATGACCAGACGAAACGCTAGGTCCTTCTGCAGGAGCAGGAACTGATGACGGGGTTATAGAAACAGCGGGAGGTGGGGCCAACCGTGGCACCATAGATGGCGACGGTGCAGGGGATGGCGAGAACGACTCGACTGATGGTGATGGGGATGGAGATGGCGGTGGAGGACTCTGTCCAGGGCCCGGGCTAACCCAAAACGGTGGGAAAAAGGGGAACGGATTAAAAGGTGCTACATCCATCAACTTCCGGTGATGAGCTACATTTCTAGACTCTTCCACGCTCCTACACACACAAACGCAAATGGCGTTAGGAAGAACAGAAACCTAACTACTGCAAAACGAGAAGAACTAGACCAAACCAATCAAGAATTTGGAGTTATTCCACATGTAAAAGGCAGAAATGGTTTATTTATACTGAATGCTGCCATGTTTCTCAAAGCTTTAACAGAGGTGAAGGATTATCAAGATAACATCAAGGAACAAGTTTCAACTTTTAGTCACAAGACAAACTGCATCATACATTGGACAACAAGAAAGTATGCATTATGAAAAATGCCTATGAAACAAACAACAACAGAATTTAAAGATGCGTTCCAACTCAACTAAAACCCAAAGCCGATAGGGGCAACCCTAGCCAAGTTAATCATACTGTTGCTTTGGTAATCACAATGTTACAAGTTCGACTCCTGTGGGAGTGGCCTATTGACATTTTGGGTGTTTGAACCAGTCAGCTATGGACAACCTAAACTTATTTAGCTCCCTATAGTCCTTTACAGGCTAAGGTGGTTTACCCCGTGACTGTGGATTTCCTCGTCACTCAAAACCTAGAGCCGATAGTGAAACTACACAACAAAACATTAACATAGTCCGACTTACTCTAAAAATGTGTTCCGTCTTAACTAAAATCTGACCATTTGGGAGGAGAAAAACTTACAGAGCCACAGCATTTCCTCCATTGCCATTCTCCAAACCCTCAAGAGAATCATGAACTACAGTCTCCTTAGATCTGGACAAAACAATACCTGCATATATATTCCATACAACACTCAACATCTGAACCCCAGAAATCAATCAACAACAAAATAAACTAAAACATTAAAAACCCTCCTCCCAAAGTAAAAAAGTAAAAAAAAAATCATACCTTTATCACTCAGGGACCAACAAAAAGACAAATGCTGGTAAACCAAAACAAACACCACTGCCAGCAACGCAGGACGAATCTCTCTGAATCCCCAAAACCCATTCATCATTTCCTCAAATCAAAAGCAAAAGTACCCAGTACAGTCTGTAAAACCACCTCCTTAAACTCATCAAAAAAAAAAAAAAAAAAAAAAAAATCGTAAATGAGTGTTCTTTTCGCGTTGCTGGACTAATTAACCTTGGACCAGAAGACGAGGGGTTCTGAAAACGCGTACAGATACACAAAACCCAAACCAGAGAAAGGTCTGTTGACTTCAAAAGCTAGCAAATCAACCCAAAAAAAAAAAACCAAGAATTAAACAAAAAACATCCTCAGATCTTCGAGTCTTCCGAGGACAGATTCCCAGGTTGTTTCAGTGGATAAAGCTACTTGAACACGATACTTATCTGCGGCAGAATGTATAGGAGAACCTATCATTTCATAATCATCATCATCATCGTATAAGAGAATGATTTTGAGTAGGTGTTTGTTTAATATTAATTTTTGTTACACCGGGAAAAATGTTGCGTACAAAAAAATGGGGCCAGGTTGACCCGGTAGAGAGGGATGTAAATGACAGGTCAGATGTGGGCCCGGGGGCGTTGTTAATATCCAACCGAATTAGTAGTTACCATCACAAGTCCGTGAAAAGTGGGGCAGCGGCTTTTGGGCTTTTAGGCCTTTGGTAGTTAAGGTTGGTGGCCACTATTACAATGACAACTATATAAATTCTAAATAATATACCCTCAACCTATTCAGTTCGTCACATAAAATCTTTCTAGTATAATTTACCTTTTATGTATAATTTGCAGATTATAATACAAGGTTATTAGAATTTTGATGAAGAGAACTGATGAATGGTCGCCTTTGAAGAAGAAAATTGTGGCTGGTGACCGTTCATTGGTTGTCGATAGTTAGTTTTTGTCGTTGAAACTCTTATGATCGGTTGTTACCGATGGGTAACTGGCTATTGGGCTCATATGCACAAAAAAATAATAAGTCGATGTGTTTATTTGTACCTTTTTAAAATTGATAGACCTAATTGTTTTTCGTATAAAGTTTAATGACTTATTTGATCATTTTCTTAAAACAATATAATCAAGTTGTCTTAATAAAGACGGTTGATGCTCAGTCTGTTCCGTGGCATTGGGAGGAAATTGTTATATATGAACCAATGTCCACTTTACAAGGTGGACCCGTGTTCAAAATATACAATTTACATACTGAATGTTTACAATTTGCATACATAATTTATATATTAAATGTTCACAATTTACATTTTATAAAATTATGAACATTCAGTATGTAATTTGTGAACATGTAGTATAATTTGTTGGATCCTTCAGTAATAGTATATTTTCCCTGTTGGCTTTCACACACACACACAAAACAGTTGTGTTTAGGTGTGTATATGTATATATTCTAAAATAAAATGAACCAAATTCAAATTCAAAATCTACCTAATTTGATATTTATCAATTTATGAATCTCTATAATCTACCTATAGAAACCCATTAAATGTTTTTCTTTAACGGCTATAATTAATGTTACAATTAGATTTCAGTGATTTTTATTTTTTTTTCTAACTACTTACAGTTGTGTTTAGGTGTGTATTGTATATATTCTAAAATAAAATGAACCAAATTCAAAATCTACCTAATTTTATATTTATCAATCTCTATAATCTACCTATAGAAACCCATTAAATGTTTTTCTTTAACGGTTATAATTAATGTTACAATTAGATTTCAGTGATTTTTATTTTTTTCTAATTACTTTTTCAACCTACTGAAACACAAAGAGCTAATAACGTCTCCACTGAAACTCAAACTCACAACCTCTCATATAAGAATTCAACCCGGGTGCCATCTGAGCACAAAGTGTTTGGCAGATTTGAGTGATTAATTATCGGTTACTTGAAAGCATTAGTCAAATGAAATTCCTTAATTAAGTTTAGGAATATGATTCCAAAATTTAAATTAAAAATAAAAATAAAATTGTCCCTTAAATTTACCTCATATTTATTACATCTCGACGTGATAACAACACTTTTTATCTCAATTGATGATTTGTAAATTGGTTGATAATATGCGTGCACGCGCAGGCACACACGGTGAATATATTATTACTCCGTATAAGATAAATTTGGAAGGGAAATGTATAAAACTAATTATATATCCATTTATATTCTACATGATTTTTTTGGGGGGATTGGGGAGGGAGGGGTGGGGGATGGGATCACGCTCAAACAAAATCAAACATGTGATTTTTCAAGTATGAGAATTATGTTTTATACACTTTATCACTCATTTTTTATTTTGTTTGGAAGATTAATATACACGAGTAATGTTACATACACCTCTTAAAACTTTCATTTCAAGTTTCCCTCCTAATGTGACAGCATCTAATTGGATTATTTAGTATTTAATTAAAAGTGTGTAAGGTCAGTCAATTCATGACGACATCCAATGAATATGAGACACATAATGAAAGACAATATTATGGGAAATTTTTGAAGGAGTAAATATCATTTTCCAATTTCCAATATACACACCCTTTGATTTAATTTGATGTTACATAGGCTACATTTAATTTTAGTAATTATTCTTCTTTTTTAATGACTAAAGAAATACGTAATTACAATCTAAATGTGTGAACAAAATAAATAATATTTTTATATAATAATTTACAAATCACATATAAAATATAAACTACATTACCCAAATTATGTGTAATAAATTTGACTGAGATGGTGATTAAATATTACTACGTATTAAAGTAGTAGTCTAGAACACTCTTCAATTAAATATTAATGAGAAGCTAAGTATGAAGTAATATTTTCTCTATATTTTATATTATTATTTAAGTCTGCCACTGCTATATTCCTTTTGTCAACTATCAACAACTGATTGGTTTGACTATGAATTTACAATGCATGTTTTACAATATAGTAATATATGTTAAGTAATATTAGAATTGTGTATAGGATAGGATTAATGAAATTTCAAATAGATTCTTCTATTGACTAATACCTGCAGGCCGGCCGCAGCAGACATCTTCAAATGCTGACAATTAAGGCAAACAAAAGAATACTACATAAGAAAAGGCAAAATTAAACCATCGATTTCATGCGACAAAACCATCTTTATCTTGCAACATTTTTTTTAATGACGAAGGGAAATTACCACCACGCCCGCACGTGCTTAACTCATCGATTCGGTAAACAGTATTTGGAAGAAGATATTAATATTTGAATTTCAGCAGCAATAATGTGGGAATTATGCTCAAAGTGTGTAGACCCCTTGTGCGCACTGACATTTGGCTCTGTTTGCTGATTTATTAATATAAGTCCCCGTGATTTACATCCTTCCAACTGACTCTGTTTGCTGAGTTATTGATATGAGTCATTCTGATTTACATCTTCTCAAATGCTCAGTTGGGGTCGGGGTGTGGAGAGTATTTGGAGTTGAGGATTCAACCCTCCTTTTAAAGAAGAAAATTACAACCACTATTAAATATGTACATTAAATGAATAATAGATTATGTTTTCGTATAATAACTCATAAATCAAATGCTCGATCAAAAAGTGTTAATAAAAATCGAATTAGTGACATTTTGAGACAGTAATCATATTCTACCCCTCAATTGCTATTTTGGAGTATATTTGTTTTTTGTTACTACAAAATATACTTTTGACTTCTCATAAAAGTTGTATGGTTAAAAAATAATAATAAAACAGGAAGCATGATTTAGTTGAACTTATAGGACACCATGTTACATATTGCCACGTGCAACTTATTAATTATAAGGGGAATAATTCAATATCATTTTATTGAAAATTAACATTAGCATGAGGAGTCATGTGATGTGGTCTTGTGTGGGGTCGATTGAGATCCAAATAAATTATTTGTACTCAAGAAATGTGAAAATTAATATCCTCCATAATATTTTTTGGGTGAAAAATTAAAATTAAAAAAAAAAATCAATTATTACTCGATGATGTGTATTGATTAAATAATACAATAAAATATTCATATAAAATTTATAAAAATAAGATTATTAGTTTGAGTTTTTTTTTAGAGGTTTCTGGATTCATGCTAGACAACAATGGTGCACACAAAGTGCACTATTTTCAAATTATTTTTTGCCTTTTTAGAAAACTCATTTTTTAAAAAAATAGTTGAACCACTTCCTCTCTTCTCTCACATCCACCTTAAAAAACAAAAAATGATGATGCTCTAAGGGCATCTTCAATATATAGGAAATTAGGAATTTTGTTATTCTATATTAGATTTTTCTTGACTAACTGGATCGAGTTCAAGATCCCCCAAGAGAAATTCATAGTGCCATTGAGGCGGATAAAGAATTGACGACGATAGCGCAATAGCGCCATTAGAGCCGGACACTAGTCTGGTCGGGTTATCCGTTTCCTTTTTACCAAATAAAAATTAAAAAATCGCAAACAACTAACGTTAACTGTTTGTCGATTATACCTTTCTCTTTTTTTCTTTTTCTTTTTTTCTTTTCTTATTTATGTAGCATCATTGAAGAATGAAGACGCACTAATAAAAACATACACACAATGCGCGTTTGATGCATGGTCACTATCCTGCATAGCTGCAATTACCTGATCTATTCATTGCTCTTTATCAACGTAGCTATATTATTTCAATGCACATTAATGCCATGCACCATGTCTTCATGCATGATTAGTGATTAATAATTGGAGTTTTAATAATGATCATACAGATCGAGAGAGGGTATTATTTTCGATAGAAAAAATTTGATCGATTTCTGATAAACTATTGATTGATTGATAGTTGATAACTTTTATAAAAATTAAAATCCTTTCGTAAGTATTATAAAGGACGTGATGCAATTGTTAGTGTTACAATATTTGGACAAATATTATCATCAATTCACTAGTTCATCATTTTAAAACGCAGTTGTTATATTATAGACCGCGGTGCATAATCGATTATGTACCGCGGCCCATATATGGCGCCGTTTCTTTAAGTAAAGAAACGACCCGCCGTTAGAGTTAACGGAGTCCGTTTGTTTGGTGTATTAAACACCAACTGACACTACAGTATATCCAAACCGACACTGCAGTTATATCAAAATGATACTATAGTTATAGTGAAATGAAACTGCAGTGTATATAAACTGAAACTGAATAACATTTCACATATTTGAGTGTATATTGTACAATGAAGCTGTAATTATATCAAAATGATCATGTAATTGTGTTTTAATAAAACTATAGTGTATATAAAATAAAATTAAATAACATTTTCACATATTTGAGTCTATAAAATATCGAATGAAACTATAGTTATATCGAAATGAAACTGTAGTTGTGTTCAACTGAAACTGCAGTGTATACAAAATGACACTGAATAACAGAGTTACTTTTTGTAAAAGGGTGCGAAACGGCGGAAATAAACACGGTTAATTTTCATTTAAAAAAAAAAAAAAAGACGC